CAACTCCGCGCAGCGCAACTGGGAGCTTCTCGTAGCCACAGCAACCCTGACTCACAAACTCTCTAGTTTTATCACAACAAGCACACCTGGCATTTAGCGCGTGTTTGCGATAAAACAACGCACGCTGACGCTAAGTTTGGATCCAGATCTGCTTTTGAGGCATTTCGCTCAGTGCAAGCGCACCGCAGCCGCTATGCTCTCTCTGGACTTTGCTTAGTCCATCTACGTCACCGTGACTATCAGAGCAGAAGCAGTTATAATTGTTATTGTTCAAATTAAAATTTCGCTCAGTGACATCCACGGTCCCAATGTATCCCAAGATAAGCGTGCGTTGATTTCATCATCTCAACAGACTTGATGGAGCACATACAGATCACGTACACGAGAGGGGGGTGTGGTATGGGGCTTTGCATACACAGCAAACTAAAATTAACATTAAACATTAGTAACCGCGACTCCTTCTCGAATCCTGCATGCAAAGGTCTGCAATAGTCAGTTGACACCATGTTTTGCTTGATTCGGGTGTGTCTTCAGTTCATAAGAGCTCAAATGTTTTTTAACATAACACTTGACTTTGTCAATCGAAAGTTTTTACTTGATAAATCTAGCTGTAAACAGCAATCGTGCATGCTTTGGATGCTAGAGGTCCGTTGCTTTCTATTGTATTTGAAACATTATTGCAGCCAAGAAAGAGAACTCTATATTGTGTGTGAAGCAACATTTAGCTTGATTTATCTCACGAACAACATGGTTAGAATGTCTTTATGAAAGAAGATACAGCTAGGCAATGCCGACCTCAGCTGCTCAACCACTGCTCCCAACAACTGCAGCTGTCAATACCCCAGTGTCCAGTCACTATTTGAGGGGAGCATTCAGATCAAACTAACTGTTTTTATTTCATCCTCTTGAGCATTCAGTGAAATGTGCTCACGAGCGTAGACGCCTTTACAAGCAACAAGCTAAACAGCACATTTACACGAAGCTCTGCATTATCAAATAAATAACCTCAGTTGACTGAGCACCACCAGTGATAGATGCGAATAAACAGCTTAAGACACACGACAACTTGATTTGGTATCACATGCGCAATTGTGGATACTGTTTGACAGTAAATCCAGGTCATTTAGCAATCCTAATTCTAAACTTGGGGTTAGTTTTGATAAGTTGTCAACTGTTAAAGACACATTGTCAGCGGGTGACTGCTAGATTATAGATGCTTGTCAGCCCACAAAAAAGCTTAAAACGTGTTTTGGGGGCATAACATATTGCATCACGGAGGGACTGTTAGTCTGATTACACCATAAGCGAATGCAACAACTGATACCTCTCCAGCAGTGCCAGCAGCACAGTCGTTGAGAACGTCGCTTCGCTAAGTTGCTAGCTAAACAGTTACCGTCCCGTCTCTGCTGAAGTCATATAATCAGCCCAGATGTGCGATGAATAATTACGTCTTGGCAAAAAATACATTTACAAGCTCTGTACCTGCTTAGGAGGTTTATTTTTGGCCTTGAGAAACTCCACGGTATCCAGAAAGACCAGAGCTGAGGGGTAGCAGGAGAACCGCTGAGAACTGCATCCCTTCCTGTTATCCTCGGCTGTCAGACACGCCTACCACAACTCAAAAACAAACGCTCTGATTGGTCAGTAGCACTTACGTCACCGCGTGCGTAAAATGATTGAAGGGCGAGTGATTCAGTCAGTAACGAAAGACAGAAGGGGCGTTTTTTCAAAGCAGCCAATCAACATTTACGTTCGCCGAGCGTAATTTCATTCAACTGGCAAATGTTTTAAAATAACGGTCCCACCCTAAAAAGACGAGAAGGAAACATGAGCGAAATGTATTGTTACTGAAAATAAATGTAATTTACAACTTGTTCTTATATTTACAGTCACTGCCATGTATTATATAGAATGTGTATTATTATTATTATTATTATATGTTTAAATACAATAAATATTTTAAAATGTGTATACTTTTAAAAATATTTTTTCTTTTTTTAAACAAGAACGTACAAAGCACAAGATTGTACACCATGATAGAATTTCCAGAAATTATACAGAAAAATATCGTCTTGTTTTGTTTGATAAATGTATACCTACGAATACATATATAACTATAATTT